TAATGGGTATCCGGAAAACTTTATCACTTGTCACAGTAAAGAAAGACCGCATCTCGAAAAGACAGCTTCGGTACCAAAGAAAGCTATCTTTATTAACCTACCATTCAAGGGTGACCAGATTATGCAGTTGACAGCTCAAAGACTTCGGTCAGCCATCAAACGCACATTCTACGCCGCATCTCTTTTTCTCACGTGCCGAACATTTTCGATCCCTGTACCTACGATTAAAGGACGAAATTCTGTGGACTCTACTTCAAACTGTATCTACAAGTTCACCTGCAGCTGCGGTGACACCTATATAGGTAGAACCAACAGAATCTTCCAATGTCGTCGGAAAGAACATGTTCCAAAATGGTTACTAAATCATATAGTAAATCCCAATGCCAGTAATCTGAATAGAAATCTTGCGTCATCCATTGCAAAACACTTATTAATGTCACGTCACAAAATAAATATTAATGACTGTTTTACAATTATTTCACATAACTCTAATTCAAGGTTATTGAAGGTGATGGAAGCATTTTGGATTAATCACATACAGCCTAAACTGTGTGTACAAAAATCAATAGACTTCAATCTTCGCTTTTGTTTTTATTTAACTGAGTAATTGTCATGAATTTTATTTTATTATTGTTAACCATGTTAGTTGTAAAGCGGTTGTAAAGAAACTACGAAATGATATCATCTCGCGAAATTTGTCTTCTTAATGCCTTATTCAAATTTTCTTGTATGTCAGTAGTAATAATAAAGAAAGTTAGGAAGTAAATCGAGGTGAATTTACATGGCAACTGAAAACGCATACCACATCGTTGTGTAATGAATTTACATTAGAGCATACAATGAGTAGTATTCGAACTTGAGCGGAACTGAGTAATCAAGAGCAGCTGACGACCGAGCTGTTTAGAATAGATGCATTAAAATTCTAGTTTAGTCAAAGTCCTATATGTTTCTAGGATCATTTGAATGAAAATTGCAATTTACACGACTCGAGATGGAATTTCACCACTGTCCCTAAATTATTCTGGCCACACATAGTGTTCTGAATAGCACCATAAGAAGAAATCAAAAATGCACAGTGCTATATGCTACTGGCTGGTTGATATAATTAGTTGGACTCCACACATCAACCAGTGGGGCTCGATGGTCAAAACGAAGTGATCGAAATGTGGGGTTTTCACTCTTTTTAGGTGGACCTCATCAGTGCTTTACGCGATTTGGTACATTTGAGATTTTAGGCCCTACCCCTCCAGAATACTGAAGTTGAGTGTAGGTTAAATTAGTTAATACTGTGTCAGCTCCATAATTCAGATCCACGACAGGACGGGAATTTGATGTCGCAGTACTCCTAAACTATGTGTAATAGACTTTACGTAATTATCGTTAGTGCATCTCACGGGCTCAGAAGCTTACAGAATATCACTCTAACGCCTAAACCTATGAATGCTTGGTTCGAGACCCAGTGGGAACATTTCCATTCACTGTGAGCAAAGTTAATATGCTTTCGTCTTCCATGCATTGTTGAGGCCTTAGTCATTCAAACAGAAAAAACCGAAGCCATGCATACAATCATTCAACCACTTCTACTATGATGGTAACAACCTTGTTGGTTCCTATTGTCCTGAGTTTTGTTTGTTTTTGTAACTCCTTATAACTCTTGTATTGTATTTCTTTAGAAATCTTACATAATTCTACATTTTCCTTCGTTCTTATGCGCATCCTGATTACAACTCATTCGTTTGAATCACTCATCTTATCACGTAATTCTAATACACTTATTTAACTCCTTTTATGCAAATCTACAACTGACTGACAAATCCCAAATAGGACGGGGAAGGCACCACTTCACTTAAATTCGCAAGTTTCGATAAAGACAGGTGACAGGCGTGACAGAGATCACCAACCTCATCCATAACAAAACATATCATCATACATATGAATCATTAATTAGACTGATATTTCAATCGCCTTCAAGATTTTATACAGAAATGTTTGAGGCGAGATAGCTGTTGGTAAGGTAGGATAATAATAATAATAATATATAATGATTAAGGAATGCTGATGTAATCATACATTTGATGTATGCGTAAATTAATGAATCCTACCTACATAGCCAGCCATCTTCCACTCAATGGGACATTTAAAAATACCATGGCTATAAACCTTATAAGTTTGTCTGAACAAAGACTTTTCTTCTTCTTAAGAAATACCTATTCACGTCCTTAAAAAATATGAGTTGTTGTCGTAATATCAATAGACAGTTATGTGACGAATAAATTTTGGCGTAAATATCACTACGTCAGGGTAACCAGATAAACAGTATTTACTAGTTCATACACACAGTATGGGGATTGGAAATAGGTAAACAGTGTGGCGTGTGCGACTGACAGGATTTATAAGTAGTGCATAGATGCAGACTTGAATATGTATGTCATCTGCAAGAATATCAAGTAGCGGAGAGAGATGGATGATTTAAGGAATGATGCTTGTGAAACAACATGGAACGAAGACAAAGACGCACACTACGGAAGATATATACAAATCGTGATTCTAATACATGAAGACGTGTCTTGCCTATATTTGTGTATCGACTTGCCAATAAATAATTCCGTTACCAAAATTCTCTTGTCTTCTGTCGTTAACGTACAATACATTTACTGATAGGCTATTACAAAAAGATACCATGCATTACCCTGAGTCTCTTGGTTATTCTTAATTTTACTTTTGTTAATACAATTTTCTGGGTTTATATATATACTAATTTCATTGTATTTTGAAATTCTCGGAATTACTGCTATTGCGTGTTAATACGAAATCGATACTATAATCTTTGTTCTTACCTGCTTCTGTGTACAGGTTTTAGTTAGTTTTCAGTACAGAAACTATTTCCTGATGAAATTGGGGAACAGTAAAAGCATGCAGTTGATTCTGACCGTAACATAAATCAATACAAAACACCTGGTCAACAAGAAAATGAGGTGAAATAATTTAGTGATGTGTGTGTGGAATCATAGTAAACCAAAGTGGAGGTTTCAAGTAGTCAGATATAATCTGTGAAAGGAGAGGAAATGTCAATTAATGAATAAACACTTCCCAAACGATAGATGTAAGGAATAACAGATAATGATAAGGGAAAACCTTGGGTAGCTAAATTCAGTTGGCTGTTCTCTAGATTTGCCAAAAAAACTACCTGCCAAGAAAGGATACAAAGGATATCTTCATATATGACTCTAAATGAAGTCTTTGCTGTGCAACCAGACTGTATTCCAAAATTTAGCTGTTGATTGTTCTGCGTTCTCCTTTTGATAATCACATTGGTAGGCGTTCATGAGGACTTCGAGACAATTTCCTGTTGCTACGGTCCATGTACATTAATCTACAGGAGCAAGTGAACTGGTGAATACATGTCCAGGTTGTCAACAGTGAGATCTTGTCTTTAACGTCTTGATTAGTAACGGGATTTGTGGGAGAGATACAAATAACGTTCTTCGATGTAACCGAACGCTGTGCTTTGCCAATGAGTAAAAAGTAGAAACAAATGGCACAGGTTGAAAAAGGGCTCATTATCAGAAAATTTGAATTCAGGCAGCCGCAATCACGACTTGCACATTTTGAGACAAGATTTCACCAAGTTCGTTTAGGATATCTAAATTATTCCGACCACACATTGTGATCTGAATTAAACCATAAGTGGTAATCAAATACTCGCCGATGTCATTGGCTGGCGCTATATATCTCAAATTGACAGAGGTCCACCATTCACCTCTATACCGACTATCGCATACTCCGAGAAGACGAACATTTAGTTGCAGTGTGAGTCAACTACAATAGTGAATAATGCATTGAATCACTACACCTGTTACGTGATTATTTCTTCCAGATTGTGTAGTCACTTCTCAACAACTTAAATCAAAACTTGCTCAGATATGCCTGAAATGTCTTCTTTTTTTAACAAATAAATGCTAAATATATAAACGATTGGGAATGAGTCACCTAATGTCTTCTGTCTTCTTACAATACGCATTACAAGGGATGCGCTAGAAAAACGAGAGTTAGTCACTACCTTTATTGTCTGGATAAAATAAGGATTAAAAGCAATACTTTAAGAAATATCTGTTGTATTTTACTGATTAATAATACCCAACCTCTAAGATTAAAAGTTGATATTATTTCGACACTTTCTTAGTTGACTTTATCAAATATACACAAACCCTAATTCACAGAAAATTATTGACTGGTGTTACTTGACTGAAACCGTGAACAGAGTTATTTATAAGACTGCCTACATTATGAAAAGCTGAACGAATATCGTTGCAATCAAAACGCTCGTAGAGCCAAAATTATACAAACAAATTAAGATATCTACCACTTGACGTATAGAAGGAAATTACGCTAGCAAAACGGCATGAGTGGAACTCAGACAGTAATGCCAAGTAGGGAACAAAGAGAACAATTAGTTATGAAATATATTCACAAAAACCACTACTACTCATGCCCACCACTAACTTCAGTGCTCAAGGTATTTATATCTAACCTAGACAACTTTACCATACGCTGATCGAACATTCATAAAAATTCTGTAGTTTTCAATTATGGGGTCAGTACTTTTCTGTCATATTGAAGTATTTGGTCCTCATATTCTCATACTGCAATTACTTGAGTTCATAATCAGTTTTTTTTAAAACACAAAATCAACTAATATCGTGATCCAAGGGTTGTTTCCCCTTAACATAATTAAAGAAAACAGACGTGTGACGTAAGCAAGACCACACCTTTAAAATGACATTTTCTAACAATGACAAGCCATTATGTAACTTTAAGTAAGTCACTCAACCATTTTTGAGAACAGTTGCAGATATTTTCCCAATTTTTAACTGTCTAATCAATCCTTAATTTATTTGGATATTTTCGCGTATATTTCAATGTTCAGTTTTGGAAGAGGAAGATTGCTCCATGACCACTTGCACTTAATTACACATGGTAATTAGTCACATCCAACAGTTCGGTCGGTCGGTTTTCGACATAGGACTTTGCACATATGTGCGGCAGTTCAAGTCGCCACAATCTATGTAGCACGCAAAGCAAGAGAAGGAAGTAGAAGAAATGCATAATATAGACAGTAAACAGAGGTGTGAGACAAAGGAATAGTAATAACGGAGAACAAAAGTTTAATTGGAAATCATAAGTCACAAGGAGTGGATGCATCTGCGCCACTGAGAACGATTTTGAGCCATGTCACCAATTGTTTCCAACCATTGGTTTTTACCATCCCGAGGGCCCCAACCAGGAAGTCTACATCTTCCTACGTGGCTTAGATTGACTGTTGTGGATTTCATTGATTGGTGCCATGTTTTGGTTTGACCGCCACTAGCTCTTTTCCAGCCTGACCCTATATCATCTAACATTGCCCGTCGAGGAAGGCGATGACTACGCATACGTAGCACATGTCCTAACCATCTCAGTTGCTTTGGTTCGAGTTCATAAACCAGTGACTGAAAGCCAAGCACCTTAATCAATTAGCCATAGCTCTAAACGGCAAAAGTGAGAAGCAAATATTTCGGTTAAAATAAGGTTTAGCTTGCCGTATCAATTTAATGTTTATTGTACAATAGAAAGTAAAAACAATTAGAGTTAATGGTATATAAATATACAATCTTTCCACAGACAGTAAAATGCCATAGACGTTCAAGAGTGAAGCGGTAAAAATACATTTTAAAAACCCTATACAATGTTATATTTTATTGAAAGACGCAGTAGGGAGGGGAATAGACTTTTACAGAGAGGCGTCTACGAAAATTTTCCTCACTCAATCAGAAGTTGAACTACTGTGAGAAGAATTTAAAGCTGATTTTAAAATGAATTCGCTGAACCTATTTTCTGTTTCTCTGGATATGGTGATACGTTTATTTCCTAACTTCTTGGCAAGGCTCCGGCGCCTCGCGATACGTTTGCGTTTTGTTGATAAAAAAAGATCTTGATCCAGAGGGGCGACGCCGGGAGCTGTGGGAATGCATGCTTCTTCGAGTGATTGTCCGGTAAATATCTGCCTTCGTAAGGGGTAACGATCAGTGTTTCTGCTTAACCTGTGGCAGCGTTGGTTTTCCTTAACAGTATTTTCGAAAATGGTTGGTAAACCTCTGTGTTTTGGGGGCGTATACTTCTTAGGAAGATAGACATCTTCAATATCTGATGGTATGTGTAGAGAACTTTGAGGTCGGACATTTTCCAATTCATCTTCCGATAAGACAGATACCTTATCGGGTGACGCAGTAGAGCATGGCTGTGCAGAAATATCCGTACATAGTACTTTCTTTTCATTCTGGGCAGGCGAATGAGAAGAATTGCACGATGCGCCATAAACTGCATTCGTCTACAAAAAAAGAATATTAATTCAAATGTGGATTAGTACCATATATTACACATGGTTGAAGATACTAGCAATGTAAAGCATAGTCCCATGTACCTAGCTAATAGCTATTCAGTTTGTACGTTCTATTAATTTGAGGACCAAGAAATTATGAAGAAAATAGTGGCTTTTGAAATACAATACGATGTATCAACAAAATTCAAGCTACAAGACGTACATGCCGAGCATATCTTAAAGCATGACAATGTAATTCAAATGGGTATGTGCTCGAATTGTCAGAAAGATTAACGGAAAACCAGCTTAAACTTGCACTGTAGATTTGTATGTTTTATGAACAAGGAGAGACGGAGAGAAAGGGGCTGTTTATATAAATGACAACTAAATCAAAATGCTTGGTTTTCACACAAGGCGACTGGGTACTCAAAGTGGACAGAAGTGAAGAATTTCGCGAAAGCTAGAAACGGTTGACGAATGGAATAACTATCTTGAAGTAGGATATTTAAATATATGAGAACTCATATATGTGATTCATCTATGCAATCAAGCACAAAGCATACGTTAAAATGGCAACACCGCGGTCCAGGTTTTTATATATCCTGTCCTGTGTTACTTTCACTATTTTGATTTATTGTTCAACAGACTACCAGTTTTGAAATCTTTAAACAGAAGCACTGAACAATTCGCATACAGAAGACGTGACGAATATCCGTAATAGTCTGATATAGCTAACAGCTACATCAGCCAACTGTCAACAATGCTAACGCAGACTACATTCGAATGCAAAACAAGACCAATAAAGTGATATGGTATCAATATCCAATACGGTGAATACATTATATATACACCTTGTCTTCATGACGTTTCAATTTGGAAAGTCTATATTGAAAAAGTATGTGGAACAAAGATTATTTAACAGTGATTATATGAACATACTGAGTTCATGGTGCAGCGGTAGAATTCCCTCGACCACGGATGTCAACACAGTTACGATTGCCGGCCAACGCACTCCTAAACCTCGGTAAACCAGAAATGAAGCTGATTAAGAGAAAAAGGTTGAGCGAGACGATAGAAACCCCATCCAGTTAAAATAAACATTTCTACAGAAAATTCAAGTCTCTAGCTTGAAGCTCTATGTTCCACTGGGAACGTGAAGGAATGAAAATAAATAAGTAACTTATTCAACGTAGCAGACGCACTTACTCGAGTTTGCGAGTATATCCCAGAATTTCGACGACATCTTCTAGGTGGTAGTGTTTGTTCATCATGGGACACTGGACATAAAGATTTTCGGAGTAATCTCCAGGATCTTCTGTGTTTTGGGGGCGTATACTTCTTAGGAAGATAGACATCTTCAATATCTGATGGCTTGTGTAGAGAACTTTGAGGTCGGACATTTTCCAATTCATCTTCCGATAAGACAGATACCTTATCGGGTGACGCAGTAGAGCATGGCTGTGCAGAAATATCCGTACATAGTACTTTCTTTTCATTCTGGGCAGGCGAATGAGAAGAATTGCACGATGCGCCATAAACTGCATTCGTCTACAAAAAAAGAATATTAATTCAAATGTGGATTAGTACCATATATTACACATGGTTGAAGATACTAGCAATGTAAAGCATAGTCCCATGTACCTAGCTAATAGCTATTCAGTTTGTACGTTCTATTAATTTGAGGACCAAGAAATTATGAAGAAAATAGTGGCTTTTGAAATACAATACGATGTATCAACAAAATTCAAGCTACAAGACGTACATGCCGAGCATATCTTAAAGCATGACAATGTTGAAATCTTTAAACAGAAGCACTGAACAATTCGCATACAGAAGACGTGACGAATATCCGTAATAGTCTGATATAGCTAACAGCTACATCAGCCAACTGTCAACAATGCTAACGCAGACTACATTCGAATGCAAAACAAGACCAATAAAGTGATATGGTATCAATATCCAATACGGTGAATACGTTATATATACACCTTGTCTTCATGACGTTTCAATTTGGAAAGTCTATATTGAAAAAGTATGTGGAACAAAGATTATTTAACAGTGATTATATGAACATACTGAGTTCATGGTGCAGCGGTAGAATTCCCTCGACCACGGATGTCAACACAGTTACGATTGCCGGCCAACGCACTCCTAAACCTCGGTAAACCAGAAATGAAGCTGATTAAGAGAAAAAGGTTGAGCGAGACGATAGAAACCCCATCCAGTTAAAATAAACATTTCTACAGAAAATTCAAGTCTCTAGCTTGAAGCTCTATGTTCCACTGGGAACGTGAAGGAATGAAAATAAATAAATAAATAAGTAATTTATTCAACGTAGCAGACGCACTTACTCGAGTTTGCGAGTATATCCCAGAATTTCGACGACATCTTCTAGGTGGTAGTGTTTGTTCATCATGGGACACTGGACATAAAGATTTTCGGAGTAATCTCAAGGATCTTCTGCGAGTTCCACCTGAGTACGCACTTTGTGGTGGGGAATCAATGATATTTGTTAGGTCAAGACCCACGAGAGATATCCTTCCGCGATTATATCCGCTAAAAGGGATAAAAAAGACAACTACAGGCAACAATTGACAATACTCCAGCTGGTGACATTAAAATACTAATGGGAGACATGAACGCCAAACTGGGATCAGACAACACAGGAAGGGGACTCATCATGGGTAGAGAAGCTCTCGGAGAAATGAATGAAAACGGAGAACTCTTCGCCGACTTCTGCGCCTTCAATGAACTAGTGATTGGTGGCAGCGTATACAAACACAAGGATATCCACAAGCCTACACGGGTGTTACCAGATGGGCAAACCAAAAACCAAATCGACTTCATCTCAATCTCAAGAAAGTGGAGGCGCAGCCTGCTGGACACAAAAGTAAGAAGATGAGCACACGTTGGCTCAGACCACTATCTCGTACAAGAGACAATCCAAATCAAATTAACAGCTTTCAGAGAAACAGGAGCTGCAGATAGACCACAAGCCAAGTTCAACACTCAAAACCTGAAGGACCAGGACACAAAAGGACATCTTCACTGCAAGCATAAAAGACAAAGCCGAGACACAAGTCAACACTGGCGAAGAGGTCAGCGTCGAAAAGCACTGGAACAATTTGAAAACAGTGTGGAGTCAATCCTGCATGGAAGTTCTAGGCAGAAAGAAGAGACAGGACAAACAGTGGCTCACTACGGACACTTGGAGACTAATAGAAGAGAGAAGGATGGTGAAACAAAAGATTCTCCAGTGCACCGATGAGCAACAAAAACAGGATTTGAATGCAAACTACAAGACACTGAACAGAAAGAGTAAAGAAGAGTGCCAGAGAAGACAAAAGAAAGTATTATGAAACCATGACAAGTGAAGCAGAACAAGCTGCAGGCAAAGGAGACCTCGCAACACTCTACCAAACGTTGGACACAAATCAAGCAGGTGAAGGATGACAATGGAAAGTCACTCACCAAAGAAGTGGAGCAAAGGAAACACTGGGCTGAACACTTCAAAAGACTCCTAAATCGACACCACCGACAACGCACCCAACAATACCAAAAACGGAGACAGAGCTACCAGTGAACACCAACCCACCGACGAAATCAGAAGT